AGAGAGAGACAGAGAGAGAGACAGAGAGAGAGATCAATTTTCAGTATTTTAATTCAATGAATACTTGAGTACCATCCTGAAGCAATTATTTTCTAAGCACACATTGGAGCTTTTTGTGTCTTTTCCAGATTTTAATATCTTTAAAGAGTCAAATGAACTCATGTGCTCTCTTGTAACACATACACTGAAAAGTATTTTATCTTTCGGTAGTCATTTGCAGCAAGTTCTTTCTGCCTTGGCACTCTTGGTATTGTGGTCTGGATAATTCTCTTTAGAAGAGCTACATGTTACATTGCATGGCAACTGGCAGGACATGTCACAGCATCCTGGGCTTTTACCCACTAGATGCCATAGCACTGGTTCCTTTAAAGATAAAAATCAAAATGCCTACATATGGTGACAAATATCTCCTTTGAGGAATGAAACATGTAGACACAAAGCACCCATTCTCACAGAAATTAAAATTTTAAATGGAAACTAAAATATTACTAACATTGGCAATGTGGTCAGTAATAACATGTCTGTGTCTTGTGAGAATAATTAGCTATTCAAAACTTTATTATATTGGTATATATTAGCTGAGGATATATTGATAATTCCAGAAAAATTAAACTTCATTTTCTACAATGAGTATATACATTACATTAAGGAAGAGATTAAATTATGATTTTAAAATGAATGTTTGTGATTTTTTTTACCTAACCCATTCCTGAGTTATTACTACCACAATTTTTTCTACTAGAGTAGAGATGAAATATGCCATCTGTATAGGGAACATCAGAATTCAGCTTGTTAGGAACTACCAAGAAGCTGAAGATGGTTAGAAGTTCTCCATACAAAAATAGAGCCATCTCTACATTTAAATCAGGTTGTCCTAGCAAGTCTGAGAGTCTACCCACCCTTTAGTGCTCCTTTGAGAGAAATCAAATCCCTTTCAACTATACATGGAAGCCACTGCCCTAGGTCTTCACTCAAGATGAAAAGGCTAGAAACTTGAAGAGGATACTTAGGAAATTGTTTATGTATTTTCTATTTATATCAGAATTTAAAAACTAAGCATAGATATCTGTGGTTGTAACCCCAGCATTGTGTGCAGAGTCAAGCAGTCGGAGATTTCTGGTGAGTTGCAGATTCAGCTAAAGACATTTCCTTGGGGAATAAGGAGATTGCAGAAGAAGACATCTGATGTTGTTTGTTAGGTGTGCATGTGTGTGTCCATGCGCACACAACCACTCACTCATGCAGGTGCACATCACACACACACACACACACACACACACACACACACACACACACACACACACCACACAAGCAAGTGAAAGTATAAAGGCTGAGTGTATGCTTGATATGTTAGGTAGAAGCAACTCATCAGAGGTTGAAAAAGAGGGAGACAAAGATTACCCCAAGATTTCTTGTCTGGGCACTCATCAAGTAAATTTTGTCATTTATTGAAAGCAGACAGTCACTGGAACAAATTTGAGTTAGATTACTCACTTAGTTCTTTGTATGTGAACCTGTAAAGATAGAAGCAATTTTAGAAGTAATTATGTGGAGAAGAAAGAAAAGCAGTGGTTGTATCGGTGAATTGGTAGGAGAGGAGAGCAGCTAGTTTCAGTCAATGTGTTGGTGATTTCTCATAGCATGGGGACTGTGTTTTTGTTCATTTGGGGTAGTAGAATGCACAGACATAGATGCAGGCTGCTAAGCTCACCCAGTGCAAAAGCCTTAGGATGTCTCTTCAAAATTTTCAATTGGGTCACTGAAGGGGGAACAATGAGAATAGCTAGGAGTGGAGATGGCAAAGATCTGGAATTATTAACTAGATTAAGTGCTGTGATGATATCTCTAAAAGCACAGAAAGTCACTTAGACGTGACCTGATTCACAAAGGTGATAAAACCCATTTTCATATTGATGCATGTAGCTTTGTACTGGGCATGACTCAAAAATAATTTGAATGTTCTGCTACTTTATGTGTTTTTTTTCTTGATTAGTCCAATTGTTCCCAACTCTCTTATCTAAAAACAATTGGACTCTCTCATCTTATTGTTTTTTCCATGCTATTCTATAAACCTGTGTAAATTCTATTCTCTACCAAACTCCTTGACAACTAACCTAGACTTAGTTTCTAATTTCCAACTCTTACACACAGTTGTTCACCTGCATTTACCAATATTTATCTTCTGTTCCCATTGAGCACAAGACCCAGTACAACCTAGTTACTAATTAAAGCATGTGAATTTTTTTTTTTAAAAAAGGATGGTTTCTATAAATCTAAAAGTGAAAAAAAATCAAGTTAAAAGATAAGTTTAACCAGCCACAAATCTATAAATCATCTATACCAAGAAAAATGAAAAAAAATAATTTGTAAACCATAAACTAGAATACATATGGATATTATCATTTCATGTGATTGCACACAGTGCCCTGAAGTGGAAAATTATTATAAACTACACTTTATAGTCCCCCAAAAATATAGGGCATACTTACAAGATACACAGCACTCAGTAGGAACACTGACCTTCAACTGACTGCCTCAGTTGCTCTATTCCCTTGAAAATGCACATTCTGAAAACCTCTGGGGGGAGCTTCCTGTGAAGCCTGTTGTTTTCATGGTTTAAGAATTTTCAAAAATGGTTTGATTTTTTTCACATAAAATGCCTACATAATCCATTAATTGTTGATAACTGAACATTGATATCACTAATTTTAACTTGAGATTATTTTCTCTTTATAGTTGTAACTTTTTGTTCATATACTTTGAATCCCTGTAAATAGAGGTATAAATATCCAGATTTTTCAGCTCCTCTTATTTTTAATGTTTCTAATTCAAATAGGATGACATCATTTTGTCACTCCTTGTCCCTCTTCCAGCCCCTACCAGCTACCTTCACTTGCACCTTCCCATCCCCCACGTTGAAGTTCACAGCCTCTTTTCCTTTAATTACATTAATTACACACACACACACACACACACACACACACACACACACACACACACACAGGTGTATGTATATGTGTGTGCATGAATATATATAAATACAAATTGCTGGGTGCATTTTGTCATTTGTGTGCACAAGCTTTCAAGGCTGACTACTTTGCCTTCACTTCCTCTTAGTAAATATTTTAATGTTATAAAATGGCTTAAAATTGCTAATAATATTCTCTGCTTGAAATATTATTTGTCATACCTTAAAATGGGCCCTCCAAGTTTCTTTGAACTAATGCTGGCATATGATATCATTTTCCATTCACTTACTAAGGATTTATCCTTGTTTTAGTAGTTGTGATGTGTTTTTCACATCTAGTTGAGGGGTCATATCATTAATTAAGTTCATTTAGTAGGTACTGTACATAATTTTGCTTATATGTATATAACATATTAGTTCTTTTTATGACTATGTTTTAATTAATTGTTTACTTTAAATTTATTTTGTTTCTTTTATCGACTTATGAAACACAACACATTGTGTTACTTTCAAGGATGTTCTGGTATTTGATGATGTGAGCTTTATCTTGTTTTTCTTTTTCTATTTCTTCCTGACAGTTGTACTGCCATTGATCTTAATCATATATAGTTATTTTCCTCTATATTCGATTTTTATTCCTCTGTCTTTGAAGATTTTATCCAAGACCTCAAATATATTAGCAGAGTACGGTATCATTCACACACACAACAGTGTTTGTTTTCTCTTTTCCTGTCTTTTTTCCTTTTTATGGAAGATGTGCCCTTAATGGCACTACTTTTGTAAGTGTCCAAAAACATAAAAAAAGAAGACATTGTTTTAAAATTACACAAATTTTCATTTTAATAAATTCAACTGCTATGTAGGTGTTATTTCATCTCTACAAAAAATACAGTTCTCATTGCTTCTCGGCCTTTTGGCTAAGATCAAGTGTAAAAAATACAGTTCTCACCTCAAAGGAAATGGGA